CTCCAGGCTGAGCCCCATCCCCAGCTCGCCTCAGCCCCTCCTGCTGCTCCAGCCCCTTCCCAGATTCCTTCCCTTCCCTGGACACACTCCAGCCCCTCCATGTCCTTCTTGTCATGAGGAGCCCAGAACTGGACACAGCACTCGAGGGGCCACAGCAGTTCCGGCACAGATGGACAGTCACTGCCCTGCTCCTGTGGCCACACTATGGCTGGTACAGCCCAGGTGCCATTGGCTTTCTTGCCCACCTGGGCTCAATACTGACCCCTGGGGTCAAGTTCATTGATACCTTCCAGATGTCAAAAAATGAATACACAAAACAAATCAACACAACTTGGGTTTCCATCCCTTGGGGCAGCACAGGACTGACAGCACCTCACACCCATCCACCTGGACCAACTGTCCTACAGTTACAGTTCTGATGGGCTTCACCTTAAATCAAGATAAAAATCAATCCCTGATGCCAAGCTGCTGGTTCGGAGCAGTGGGACCCTTGCACTGGTGTGCCCTGGTGTCCCCAAGCACACCCAGGCGCAGGTACCAGTCCAACAATGCCCATTCTTGGACCTCACTTTGCTTCGGGTTGTGTGGTCATTTCTACTGGGACAAAAAAGCAGGACAGTGGTGAAACTGGGCAACAGCCCCCATCAGAGCACTGCCTGATTCATGTGCACTCCATATAGGAGGAAAGGCAGGTGCAGTATTTTAGGGAGAGATCCTCCTTGCTATCAGACTGAAGATTAATGAATATCAAATATTGCTGCTAATGAAGTTTCTCAGTGTTTGCTCCCAGCAGTAATCAAGCCCCACTACATTCACATCTGCAATATTTGAATGTGTAAAAATGATTTCAAAGTAGAAATCAAAGAATACATGTGTAATTTGATTTACAGAACCATTAATCTTCATTAATGCTTTCCACGTTTTTACGCTCGTGGAATATTTTAAATGCAAAGACCTTTCTTTACAGTATATTGGAATATAACATTTCTTGGGGAGGCCAACGTTTGCTTTTGCTCTTGCTCCTTCCCTTTCCTTGATGGAGCTGATTCATTGCCTCACAGTGCTTTGTGCTGATGACTGATCATAACTGCATGATTGTTATCGGGATGAATTGCCAGGGTGTGGAAAATGCTTATGGTTGTGTTTCTGCTAACCTTTAATGAATTCCTCAAAGGCAGCTACACAAAATCATAGAATCGTGGAATCCCGGAATGCTTTGGGTGGGGAGGGACCTCAAAGATCGTCCAGCTCCAGCACTCTGCTGTGGAAGGGTTGGAATAACAAGCCCAACACGCCACCTGAAAAAATCCCAGGCTCTGGAGCAGCCGGGGCAGCTAATCCAGTGCCACGGGGCTGCACAGATGGACCCTAATCCCGGCTCCCGGCAGCTTTAGGGAGCGTGTGCCAGGCCCGGCGCCTGCCCTGCCCGAACGTGCTGCTGGGCAGAAATCCCTGTGAAGGACACAGCTGGCAGCGGGCACAGCTCACATCTGCCCCGCTCCCTGCACGGCCTGGAGGTGATTAGTTCAGACAAGGACTGCTTTCAGTCAGCCAGGCAAAGTCCACAGCCTGTGCTGGAAGAGCCGTGTTCCCTCATCCCTGCACACCCACGTCCTTCCCTGTCACTGCAGGGACTCCTCTGAACGGCCACCCTGCTCCCCTGAGGCTCCTGACCCTCATCCCACCCACACCAACATCACTGCTGGTCGCCTGACCAGGGCTCTGGGGGAATTGGGATGGGGAAGTGGGCATGGAAGACTTGGCTGAGCAGAGCCAAAGTGATTCCTTGCCTGTGGGGATGGGAACCATGAGCAGGTCTCCCCTTCAGCTCTGAGTGCCTCAGCCCTGCCCTGCCATGCTCCCATGAGCTCAGACGTGCTTCCCAGGAGGATCTCAGTCTAGACCTGCAGCTCTCCACTGTTCCTGCTGTGATCCACCTTCTCCTGTTTAATTGCATCCTTTCTCAGCACCACTGGCCAGGATTCCCTGCTGCCAGCTGCTCCATACCAAAGGCAGCATGTGGTCCCTGCTGCTGCCATCAGGACCCCAATTTCCATGCAAAGTCAACCCTCTGGCCCCAGGTTCTGGGCAGAATAACATATTAAACTGACCCCTAGTTCCTAGGGAATGCAGGGAGTGGAAACACCATGTTGGGTAAGGCACAGTAAGTGATGCCCTAAACCCAAAATGCAGAAGGATTATCTTCCAAAAACACACTTGGACACATTCTCCCACCTGTCACTCTTTTTAATGAAAAATCCTCTATCTCAGGCTCTGCCAATGTCCTTTGTTTTGTCTTATTCAGCCACCTAATTCTAATTCCGCTTTTGGGCAGGAAGAAACAAAGATATGGAAAGGAGAATGTTACTCATAAATATCGAGAGATCTTATCTCTCAGTTTCATTAGGCAAATTCATGGCCACCAAATGAGTCAAAGTCAGATGCCAAGGTCTGTGCCCTGAGCCATAGGACCACCTTTTCCCAGGCTTTAGGGGCAGGTGTTTGCCTCCCTGCGTGTGCAGGTGACCACATTCCCTCCCCACATGCAGCCTCTCAGCCCAGCACTGTCTGCACAGCCATGGCTGTGGTTGTTTTAGGCATTTACGGGTCCCAACAACAAGGTTGGTTTTAACACTTCAGTGAGGGGAGCTTTATAGCCTAAAGACAGTAGGTAAAATATTTATTAGGAAGAATATCTATTTTTAAGTAAGTCTGATTTCAGTTCTATTATTTATGCATGTGCAGCACACAGACTTCCTTCCACACAGTAAATGTGAATCAAAGACTTGGGGCCGGGAACTGGAGCCTGGGGAGGGCGGGATCGGGAGGCAGGTGAGAAGGGGGCGGGTGGTGTTATGTGCCAAATCCAATACAAATCAAAACATGATTCATAAAATTGACTCTTCATCTCGTAAAAGAATCCCAGTGACCTCCTCTGCGAGACGGAACAGACGCGTCTATTCCTGGCGCTGCCGCGCTCTTCCCAACCCGCTTCCTCTAAATCCGGGTGGGCGGGGAGGCGTGTGCTCGCACGGGCACTGCCCTGGCTCCGGGAGAAGCGGCACTTGGAGCATTAAACCTGCCGGGTGGGGCTTAACGGGACACCCTCCTGTCCACCTGCCAGAGGCACTCCCGGGTAAGGGGAGCAACTCCTGCCGCAACTCCGGCTTTCCAGAAATTGTCCCCAGTATCCAACCTAAACCTCCCCTGGCACAACTCGAGGCCATTTCCTCTCATCCTGTTCCTTGTTCCCTGGGATTAGAGCCCGATTCCCGCCTGGCTCCACCCTCCTGTCAGAAGCTGGTGAGAGAGAGAGAGAGAGAGGGTCCCTCCGAGTCTCCTTTTCTCATGCCGGTTGTTCTGCAGTGCCCCAGCCCCCGATGTGATGTGCTGTTATGAGCACAGTCAAACTGCCTTAAAAATATGAGAGACATAAAATGGGTGCAAAGCAGCGTCTTAATCAGCAGCATTCATTGGGAATATGATAGGGATTCGTTTTCTCTTCTCACATTGAAAAGGCCAGAATTAATACTGGGTCAAAAACGTCTCCTCGCCCTTTTAGTGGAAGAAATACTTGGGCAGGAGGGGAAATTCTTCACCAAGTAAGAAGACAGAGGGAGTGAGAAGCCACTGGAAGCAGAAAATTTGGGAGTTCTCTTTTCTCTTTGCCTCCACTAAACTAAAAAAGGGCTACTTGATGAATCAGTAGCTGTAGAGTTTAGTTAATGAGTGTATTTGACATCCTTGGATACCAGGCAGTGCACAAGTTAGAAGTCATTTAGACCGTGAAGCAACTGCCGCGTTTCCCTCCAAAGGCGACTTCAGTTCACCACAAACGTAAAGATTTCTGTGTTCCTGCTGGCACAGGGGAGACTTAAATGACCCCTCTGAAGACTGACAAAAATTGGCTGCTTAATGGAGCTGTTTTTCTCCTGAAGCCTGAGTGAGGCTGCACTCAATACGCTGGGGATGCGATAGATTGGATAGTTTGTAGGAGCCGTTAATAGAGTTCTCAAACTCCCGGCCATCCATCTCCATGAACGGCGT